CGATGGCCTCCTCAACGTGTGCTCGAACCATCTTTATTTTGTCTTACATATTTGTTGGGCAATTGGCTTCTAGTTGGTTTTTTCCCAGCCAGAGTTTCTTGCTGCCAGTTCTTTCTGACCTGCCATTCCATCTTCACTGCGCAGCCAGCAAAGACAGTTGTTGATAAAAGTCTTCAGCAGCATATTCCAAGTTTCTGACCCGTATAGAAGCACCGACTGGCTGACTTTACATCTGTGTTGAAAATCCGTACGAATCTTGTTCTTTATGCTGGCTGAGTGAAGCAGAAGATTTCCAAAGTGGTTTCAGGTTGAGGAAGGCGTAACCTGCCTTTCAGAATCTGGCTAGCTGGCTGGCTTTGACACTTTCATCTATACTATCCGACTGCCTGTGTTTGAAACGATTCTGACTGCCTAGATAACTGCAGGAGGTAAGCTCTATCAAGTCCATCCTGTTATTAGTGATTGATGCTGTTTGCTGTTGCTGTTGGCTGGTATCTTCATCACCTCCATCTTCTCTGTATTCACCTGAAGTTCTGTCTTCTCTTCAAAGGCCTCATTAAGTTTTCCGTTATGTTGCATTGCTATTCAGAGTAATACCAACTGAATTCATATTACTAATATAATTTCAGTATTTCTTCCTAAGCTACTTATATGTACACGTATAGGAATGCATTAGTTATCAGAAATTTGTTTGTTTTGTTTCACCTCCGAGTTAAAAAATATACAACAAAACTGTTTTTCTACATATCGACTAAGTATGCTGTTTTGTTCAAGTGATGTATTTAATTAATTTGTAGAAATAACTTTTGATGAAGCAATAAATGATGAGTTAATTAACCTAAAATCACTTCTGTCAATTCTGTGTACTTTTATATACATCTAATTTGTTGAAACTAAAGGTCATTCAGTTGTTACAGAGACAATTTATCTATCTGGCTAGGCGAATCTATTATCCTCAGCTTATTTTCTGAAGGATTATCTGTCATTCCCTCTTTAAATATCTGGTCAACTTCAATACGGTCAACAGATATTATCTCATAATGAAATGAAAATAACAATAATCTTTTTATTCAAATGTTGGTTTGTAGGGATTTAATTGGTTACAGGATTTTCATCATGAGCTGACGTTAGTTAGAGAACCATTGGAGATGCTCACTAGCGACTTACCCTATTCAGGTAGGTAGTTACCTGGGGTTCTAGTGAGAAGTCATGACCAGTAGGGTGCAGCAGGTCGGGTGTGAGGACAAATACTCGCCGAAGACATTGGCTAGGGGTCGCGCTATGTCGTGAATTGGCAGAAGTTAGAATTCATGGGCCATTGGATCGGGTCCCAGTGGCTCAATGGTATTCGAGCTCGCCTTGTAACCAGAAAGTCCTGGGTTCGAATACCGGTGTGTGCGTACTACTGAAGAGTCCCAAACTAGGACGAAACAGCTGTCCAGTACTCCCAGCTGGTTTTCCAATGGTTCTCTAACTAATGTCAGCTCATGATGAAAATCCTGTAAATAATCTTTTCATTTTTACAAGTTGATCACGGATCGATATCAGTTAGAGAACCATTGAAAACCAGGGATACTGGACAACTCGTAAAAGCAAAATCCACTAGTGACTTGGTGAAAGACAGAGTTTCCTGGAGTTCTAGTGAGAAGTCGTGACCAGTTAAGTCCATTCAGTCAAGTCTGAGGATGGATGTCGCTTCAACTACATTGGTTGGGGTCGCGCTAAATGCATCACGAATTGGTCGAAGTTAGAATTCATGAACTGGCCATTGAATCGGGTCCCAGTGACTGAACGGTATAGGAGCCAGCTTGCCTTGTAACCAGTAGACCCTGGGTTCAAACCATGACGGTGGGTGCGTGCAGCCGATGATTCCCAAAACTAGGATAAAATAGCTGGCTGTCCAGCACCCCCTGGTTTGCAGTGGTTCTCTAACTGATATCAATCCGTGATCAACTCGTATAAACAAATCTAATCCTTACAAACCAAATATTGATAAATTATCTTTCTGGTAAATAATCATTACTCAACCAATCTAGAGATGTTTTATATTTTTTTCCTGAGAAACCTTTTTCGTGATTAAAACTCATTTAAGGAGACTAATTATTACACTGCAGATTTGAGTGAATTAATAGCAGGAATATTTTGCAGTAGAATCATAGATCTCTAACGGAATAATTGTTTGGAAAATCCACCCTGAACGATCTACTTAGAATATTGATACCTATTCAGACATTTCAACTGACTTCGTAGTTATTACCTCTTTTCCTCATAGACTCTGTATCACTGCCCTGAAGTCTGCACATCGTATTTTGATTTTTTCCTTATTATTTGTCTTTTTTCTGATGTAATTCCTAATTTAAAAGCTTCTCGTTTTGGTTCCATGATGATGATATTGCTAATGTGTCGTGTTGCGGTTGAGATTTTATTTGAGTAAGTCAAGGTCATTCTGACCTTGGATTGTCTGCAGGAATTTTCTGCTGTCTTATTTTTCCTGACTGGGTTTTCATCCCACCTTGTTTTGAATGTTTTACTGGGTTCTCAGATACTTCATGCGCTTGATTTTGGTCAAATAATTCTGTTGTAGGGTACTCGTTTTGTAGTTAAGGCTAAATTTGATCTGTATAGCTGCCAAAAGGCATTGATGAGGTAACTTTACTTTTTGATGTCTTATTATTGTTAGACAGTAGCTTAGATTTCATCTGAAAGATCCGTCTCCTTGCTATCGTCCTGACATTTTAGTATCACATGTAAATCAAGGACGTTCTGGTTAGCTATGCAGTAGAACGCAAAGACTGATTACCTGAGTTCAGACCATAACACGTTGGTTTTCGTCGTTATAGATTTTTAGTAGAAGGTGTGAATGCTTTTAACTTGATATTTCTTTAGCTAAGAAATTTAGCAATAAACGTTTCGTTACTAAAATAGGCGGCCTTATCAGCATAATTCTGTTGTGTTCCACTGCATTTCACATAAACATTTGTATGGAACGCCTAGTCGCATGTTTCAGGGAACTCAGCATATTTTATACTTTAAAAGCCTTAAGGTTTAGAAAGGTATAAAACCCGCCTAATTGTTTTCTTTGTTAAATAAAATTACAATCATTAATTCCACTTCTTGGATTCCTTCAAGAACCAAAATTAGCTACAGAGATCATTGCGAACTTGAGAGCACTGTACAGCCGTTTCATCCTACTTTCGCACTTTTCATCATTGTGCACACACAACACCACAAGGATCGAGTCTGGGACCTCTAGGTAACGAGACAAAGCTCGTTTACCACTCACTTACTTCGGCTGGAATTTAGTGACCCCTGAATTAAAACTTCGTAAAATCATGATACACTACTATCCCGAAAGTCCCGGGGTTTGATCTGTGGTGGCGTCGTCGGTTCGCAATGATGAAGAGCCATGAAACAGGATCAAATGGCTGTCTAACACTTGCCACTGGCTTTCAGTGATCTCTTTAACTGGTAGTCGTTCACAACTGAATCTAACAAATGAAATGAAATTATTCCGAATCCGCAAAATCCTATAATCTTAAGTGAAGATAATGTCTTCCTTTCAAATATGTACAGTCGGTGGCAAAATAAGTAGATTTATCTGTAAATTAAGATACTGCTTTAGGTATATCTTCAATGTACCTCAGATCAGAAAACCACTTTAATGAAAAGTAAGTCTACCGACTTCCTTTTGAATTTGTACTATAATTACCCCCAAGGAATTGATATTTGAAAAATGAAAATTGCATTCAGATTCCAATTAAGAAAATACCGAAACATGCGTACGGATCTTTTTACTGCCATAGTTTTGAACTAGCAGACAGGATTAACTCTAGCGTGCACCCGCCCTTACTGAGAAAGCAGTGGCCATTACCAGTTATTGAAGACATCTGATAAGTTTCAATATTTCCTTTATATAAATGAATAGACAGTGGGTTATAACTGCGAAAATGAATTCAGCTGAACAAATCGCTTGCTTCAGTTTAAAGCTATCCATCCTTTTCATATTACACTGAAATTTTGGAAGTGTAGTTGCATGTTAGATAACATTGTATCACTGTGTACTACCTGTTTTTCAACAGAAATGTCAAAGAAAATAGAGGTGAGCCGGACAAACGCTGAGGAGATAGTTGGGTGACACCGCGCGGCAGGCAGAATTTCGAATGGAGAAAAACGAGTTTAGATGGGGTCCGAGGGTGACGCGTAGGAGGTAGTGTGAGGAGGAGATGAGAGCTAATGAGAAATTGTCAAGCCAGCTAAAGAGGACTGAACAGAAAAGGAAAAATTGGAAACGTGGTGCTGAAGCTCCATGTCCCTCTAGGAAAACAAAGAAATAACAATATAATGCGCTACCTGATAGTTTGATTGGTCAATAACTAACTGGTGTCATGTGTTCAGTCCTTTGTTTGCCGCAGAATGAATTGCATCAGTCAAGTTTGCCATGCGGCCACCATGCTAGGTGGCTTGCCATCACTGTGCACGGTATAGGAGGTCAATTGCGAGCCTGAACAGCTCAGTGGTAACGTCTCTGACTGCAGAACTGGGTGACCTGGGCTTGAATCGGAGGAGGGACATGAGTTCCTTCGAGATTGCAAGTACGTCTTTTTGACCAGTGCCAATTAGCACGAAATCTAGTGCGAAGGTTCCATAAAGATTGACTCCAACCATCTAATAAGCAGACAAACGACCATGAAGTTGTAACACTATTATATTCATCAGATTGATCTAGAAATAACAACTAGGTAACTTAAGCCCCAAATTTATCGATAAGAAACAGACGAAGACATCTTCTTGGGGGCACAAATTCTGCACAAAACATATGCCATGTATGCTTGAATTTCAAATAATTCCTTGAACATGAATATGAATCATTACTTGAAGCTGTTTAAGGCTGAAACAGTCTGTTGAGTACACAAATGTATATATTATATTAGAAATAACTTTTGATGAATATTTACAGGATTTATGAGTTACTTAATCTTATTTTCACATTTTCTTTGTAGACTAAGGGGATGAGTACAACTCTTTCGGAGATTTTTCGTTATTTATTTTTAGGTAAGTTCAGTAATAAAAGTACTTTGTTAATATAATTAAAAAAGTAATTATTGTTTTGGAAATTATTCTATAGAAAACTATAATTTTTATTTATTTATATTGAGATGTGAAGTCACCAAATTAGACAGAAACCTTTAAGTACTTTCCTCACCTTCTAAAGTTCTTCGCAAGCAGTCATTCATAAAAAGGTTTGATGACCTGTCCAGCAAAAGTAGCAAGGCAACACAAAGCAGATTTTAGCAAAAATTACGCCACTTGAGAGGATGTTTAATCCACTAAACCGTGTAGTATGTTAAAAAATTGCACAATAGTAACAAATATTCTGTAGTTTTGTTAATGAAAACATTACTATAAACTAATTTAGATAATTTAAAAGTTAACTGACAATGATTTACTGCTGGCGGTCGAACCAGTGGGTCAGTGGTCCATTCGTAGGATACTTGCCAGTCATGCACGCAGTCAGGATTTGCTTCCTGACCACCGCGCTCCTAATCCTCTTTTAGGCGGTAGTAATCCTGAGAAAGAGGGAAGGTTGAGTGTGAGGCTGGCAACCTCATTCTGTGAAAGCACCACCACTGTTTAAACTTCAGACCTCAACCTTAAAGTCCTATGTTCCACTGCAAACGCAAAGGAATGGAAAGAAAAATTTAGAAAAGAGGAAAATTAAACAGAACTTCTACTGCCGTCATGAATTCTAAGGTGTTAGATGAAAATTCGAAATGAAACTAGTGGACGTAAAGCACCCATGATAAAGTATATTACTTAAAAAATCCGTTTTAGCAGTTCTATTATGCCATGTCAGAGTGCCATTTGACACAGAGGCAAATAGGTGGATGTGCATACTTCACACTAATGTATGTTATTGTAGGATGTATAGAATTACACAATCATTTGTTTGTAAGTTTTCCTTCAACTAACCCTTGTTTCCTCTTTTTGTTAACACAGGTATGATAGTTTTTTTATTCCTTTACGTTCCCAGTGGAACATAGAGCTTCGAGTTACAGGCTTGAATTTTCGGTAGCAGTGGTGTTTATTTTCACGGGATGGGGTTGCTAGCCTCATGCGCAACCTTCCCTCTTTACCAGTCTTGTTTGGCGAGGTAAGGGAGTGCGTCTGTGGCCGGGAATCGAACCCCGTACCACATGGGGCATGGTTGGCGAGCATTCGATTTTTGTGCTATCGACGCACAGGTGTATTTATGTTCGGATTTTATTTCTTCACCCATGAGTAAATTGTGCTTTTAGCACAGTCAAATATCCTAAGTATATATTTTCTGAAATAATACACGAATTTTAATCAAATTGTTCAGTCGACAGAAGATTTATTTACCTACTGATAACTATAGCACTTAAAATTCTCGTTTTGAAACACCATATAAATTAAAATTAACTCATTTATGTGAATAAGGCATTTAGAAGACAAATTTCGCTAGATGATATCATTTCGTAGTTTCTTTACAACCGCCTAAACTGTGTGTGTACAAAAAACAATAGACTTCAACCTTCGCCTACCATGGACTACTTGACCTGTTTAAAACTATGATTGGTCATTAGTATGTACTTTTGTTTTTTATATAACTGAGTAATTGTCATGAACTTTATTTTATTATTGTTATCCGTGTTAGTTGTAAAGCGGTTGTAAAGAAACTACGAAATGATGCGATCATCTCGCGAAATTTGTCTTCTAAATGCTTTATTCAAATTTATCAAAGGGACTAATTGTTTTAATGAACTCATTTATGTTTATTTTTTGTTTTGAAAATTCCTTTACATAGTTCTCCTGAACTTTTAGTTCTGCACACTAGTTAGCTTTGATCCGTCGTGTGGAAAGCATTGTGAAATGCATCACTTCTTCATTAGACATGCTTCGAATGTGGAACTAATAAGCACTCGGAAAGTAAATGCTCCTATTTCCCATTATCCTTTGTTTATAAGCGATAGAATTCTGGTCATTTCCTAGATTAATTCATAATACTGTTTGATTTTGTGTGAATTTTGGCAATGTCCAAGTTTTGGTTGCAGTGATTTGAAAGATTTTGTTTTAAAAGAAAAATCCAGAAAATGTCTGTTTCTATGACTGATAATGTCGTATTTTCATGAGAGGTAATCCAGTGAGACACACGTCTACTAATAATATCATTCTGTCATATCGAGTTTATACTATTACTAAATTAATGAAAAAGAAATACATATTTCAGGAGAAAGGCTGTTTCCGGAAAATTCATTCACTAAGCCGCACCCCTGCAATTATTTACAGTTTTTCACGAAAAACAGTTGGAACAAAGTGATGAGTTTTCATGATCATAACTGTTAGTATTAGACATCCGTTTCATCCTAGTTTGACATTCTTCGTAAACCCGCATCCACTAGGGGTCGAATCCAGCACCTTCTGGTTACAAGGCGAACTTTTAGACCATTAAGCCACTGGGACCCGATCCAATAGCCAGCCCATGAATTTCAAATCCTGCCAATTCATGATACAGCGAGAGCACTAGCCAATGTCATCCGTGGTGAGTATTTTTTCTTACATCCGACCCACTGTACTTCACTGGTTACGACCAGTGACTGGCCATATTCAGGTAGGTAGGGTCGTGAGTTTTAGTGAGGAGTCATGACCAAGGGGATACAGACGGTCTGGTGTGAGGACAAATACTGACCACAGATGACATTGGCTGGTGCTAGTCACGCTATATCGTGAATTGGCAGGATTTAGAATTCATGAGCTGGCTATTGGGTCGGGTCCCAGTGTCTTAATGGTCTACGAGGTCGCCTTGTAACGGAAAACGTCTCGATTCGAACCTCAGTTAGTACATCCTGAGGAAAAGTTCAAAACTATGACGAATTAGCTGTCCATTACTCCCAGGTTTTCCAATGGTTCTCTAATTGATGTCAGCTCATGACAAAATCCTGAAACATAAGAAATTCCCGCAAACTAACACTTGAATGTTACAACTGGTTAGTGCACAAGATGAGTGTATTAGAGTTACGTAATAAGATGAATAACTTGATGAATGAGTTTTAATCATGATACACATAGAAACGAAGGAAAACATTGAATTATGTAAGAGTCCTATGGAAATACAAAAGTTCAAGAAGTTAGAAAAACAAAAAAGTAAAAATGAAGTTGGTAGAAATCAAAAAGTTCGTTACCATGATAGTAGAAATGGTTAAATAATTTTCTTTTCTATGCATAGATCTAGTTTTTCTAACTGATTGGAACAAGAACACTATCATGTGTGGTTGCAGAAAGTCAGTAATGCCTCCATAATGACTGAGATAATAGAACTCCTTGTCAACACTGCTCATTCCATCTCAAGAAACGCCTCCTTCAAAGTAATCTACAAAGTGAGGAGTAACCTGCCAAAGGCAATAAGCTTTGGTCTCCTTTTCACTGCTGAGGCTTTAGCCATTCAGATAGAGAAATCGCAGCTATGCGTACAAAGGAAAATTATTTAACCACATCTGCTAACAAGGTAACAATCTTGTTCATTTCCACTGACATCATGTCTGCTTGTCTGTTTTTGTAACCCCTTATAACTCTTGTACACAATTCCATATTTTCCTTCGTTTCCATGTGCATCCTGATAACAACTCATTCAATAAATCATTTATCTTACTACGTAATTCTAGTACGCTTCCTCAACTCTTTTTATGCATTGACTAATAGTAACAAGTATGTTTGTGACAACTCATCACCTTTGTTACTATCCTCTTTCATGAAATATTGTATATAATTTCGACTGTACAGCTGAAGAAGAGGATGAATTCGCTGAAAACAGCCTCTTTGCTAAACTACATGTTTTGTTTTCGTCAATGTCTGGATGATGATTATTCATGAATATACCACTAAACTACTGAATTTCGGACCTAAAACATGTGGCTAAGATTCTTACGAAGTTTATATTTCACATAGGTATTTGCTGTGATTGCAGATAAAGATTCTATGGAAATGTCAAATATTACTGCATAGCTTAGAAAAAAGCAAAGCACTATAGTTATAAAATTATACATTCAACTTTACCTCTTTGATTATAGTCCTTTTTGCGATAGATCATTATCTGTTTTTTTTCCCGCTGATAGATTGCTTTTCGATACTGACGGGCGTTTGGTGATAAAGATGAACTACCTTCATTTTAATGCAGGGATCATCTTTAATATTTCCAAATGTCACTTTATAGCGACTAGGTACACTTCAAGTTAGACTTAAACATGAATTGATGTCACTTTGAGAACCAATGAAAATAAAGGAGTACTTAACATGTGTTTCCTCCTAGTTTTCGGTCTTTTTGGTAGTGCACACTCATAATCACACTGTGGATCACACCCAGAACCTTAGTTAAACACTTACAGATTAACCCGCTATTCATCAGTGATCAGCTACTGGATGAAGTTGCCTACAGTTCCAGTGAGAAGTCGTCACCAGTAAGGTGTACGAAGTCGGGTATGAGGGCAGATACTCACTGATAACACTGAGTGGTTGAGGGGTGGCAATATACATAACGAGTTAGTGGAAGTTTAAGTCCATGGACCACTGAGCTTCATTTCATTGACTCAATATTAACGTGTTCATACTATAAGCTGATTGCCCAAAACTCGATTCCCGCTGAGATGATAGGTGTCTATTGCTGAATACATTCAAAGTGGGACAAAATAGCCGTCGAGTACTACTTAGATGTTAGTTTTAGATGAAATATAACTTTTGACCATCTGAATGTATATTTGTTCTCGATAGTCAAAAGGTTAAAGAAACTGAACAAATGTTTTTGGTTCCTGAATGTACTGGTTAAGAATAATGTTAAACAGGTTTTCAACCTACATTGCTGGAAAGCATCACTGTATTATCCTTAGTGATCAGTGCAGTTATAAAATATCATATGGCCCAACCCTTAGTTCTGACTCATTTCTATCAGTTGTGTACATATTGATTTGCACATAGCTCTATACAAATATTCCAGCCTCTAAATGGTTTTAATATCCTTCTTTAATTTTATGTTGGAGGTG